GAAATGTGCTAAATTGGTGACGCAGTATGTGGTACGAGCGGTAAAGAACAGGAGAGGGAGAAAACCAGGGCAGAAGGGGAGCTGCGTGTGGACTATTATCACCGACCCTGACTGGGACCCGGAAACTTGGGATAGGGATATTTGGGAATCAGACGAGGAAGTCCCCACATCAGAGGAGAAGGGCCCATCGCGGGACAAACCAGAAAGGTGAGCCACCCCAGTAATACGAAGGAAAGCTGTGCTGACAGGGCAGGGACAGGTGGTGCAACAGGATGAACTAACCGATTTTAATCTGCTAGTGAAATATAAACAACAACCAGGGGAAAATACACAGTTCTGGATGGTAAGATTAATGGGGGGGTTCTGTAAATACCGGCGGGCTGGATTGAGGACCCTGGGGGGCCGTATCCAGCCCGTGGGCCGTAGTTTGAGGACCTCTGAGTTACAGCAACAAGGGTCTCCAGACTTTGCTCTTAATTGTCTCATATTATGTCCGTTCATAATTTTTCCTGAAATAGATGCTTTCTAGATAGAGGAGTGATTTGAACTTGTGTTATGTTTTCTGGATACTGTATAACTTGGCAGCTGTTCCTTAAGAGCAGGCATCCTATCATTGTTTTTTCCAGGTGTTGCAAGAAACTACTGGTTTTCCTTGCTTAATTATGTTGAGGTTTTGTGACTGTGCCTCCTTGGGGAATAGGAGGGTGTAGTGTCTTCTGATGAAGTGGCTAATTCTCCCAAGGCAATTACATCCTTGCAGAATATTTAGTGTGAGACTTTTGACTCTGAACCTTTTAAGAGCACAGTGAGATTCATATTGGATTCCTCAGGAATGAGGGAGAAGGGGAGAGTTGATTTGAGAAGATGACTTAAAAGATTTTAAATTATGTCTGGGTTCTATATTACTGCTCCAAAAGCTGGGGAAAAAAAAAGAAAAACATGGCTGGATGAATTAGCTCTCAATTTCTATTGCTCCTTATTTGGAAGTTTTAGCTTTCTGAGTAGTTTCTGATTTACATCTATCAGAAAATTAAGTCAGAAATCTATTCCATTTGCAAGTCACTGGAGCAAAGTTGGTTTCAGAAATATTTGCTGCTGAAAGATGAGTACACATTCAGGGGCTGTTAATATCGTTAATGCTTTTCAGAATCTGAAATGACAACGTTTGTTACCTTGTGATTGCATGCAAGTTCTTGGTTTAGCATTGTTCATATTGGATCTCTGATCTCTTCTCACTTCATATGCTTCAGTAGCATAAAAAACAGGCTCTCGGGGAAGAATTCTATTTCTCAAGGAATTAGGGCTTGTAAAATTTTCATTTCAGCTTTAATGCTTAATCTTTTTCCAGGTTGCAGAAATCAAGAGGATTAAGTCTTATCAAGGATCAAGATTTTTTTTCTTCCAGTGAAGAAGTTCAGTGTATTGACCGAAACACACGTTCCTCTGAAAGGAAGGTGGTCTCTATGGGCTGCTCACTATTCCTCAGAGGCACAGGGCATGTCACCTTCTGATAATTTCTCTGCTAATGAGACTACTGGCAACTTAAAAGTGGATTGTGATATTGAACAAGTAGTGAAGTGTAATAATACAAAGAGAACCTTGATGAAGTTTCTGCCTTAGCATCCCAGCAGGTCTGTTTTGAAACTGATGGTAAAGCTGAGAAATGCAAAGATCTGTATTATGGAGCAGATTGGGGTATAGGATGGTGGACAGCTGTAGTGATTATGTTGGTTATCGGCATAGTAACTCCAGTTTTTTGTCTTGTGTATTATGAAGTTTTAGTGAAAGTAGATATCAGTCACCATTCTACAATGGAGTCTTCCCATGCAGGTATCACAGCACCATTGCATCAGAAACAAATAGAAAATGGAATAAATTCAGGAAATATTATAAATGTTAATCAAGGATATAAATGACAATCAACGGGAGCTTCAGCATTATGACTGAAAGCCCTATACAAGTGTTATACATAGATACATAACTCCTCATTATATGAGGAGGAAACCACAGAATGCAAAGTGCATCTGGAATGCAGCAAAAGCATTTTAATGATGCATGGTTTGTATTTATGGGCAGTGTTCCATTATATGGATGTTTGTATGGCTCATGTAATTTCTGCATATGTCTGAGGTTGGGGAATTTTAATGCAAGATTGAAATACAAATTAAGCTATAAAATGGTCTCTGGAATGTTGCACTTTTTCCTATTTTAATAAGCTTAGGTTTTCTAATGGCAACGTGAGATGGTAGTTTATTTTGAACTAACAAAAAACTCTTTTTACAACCCTGAAATGAGTATCTGGGGATGTCTAACTTTTAAATGTGTTGAAATATTTATATGGTGCGTAGTACACTGATCACTTTAAGATCAAGCTTATCTGTTAAAACTGCATTCTCTTCTTTTTATAAGAAAAAGCACGAAACAATCATTCCATAATTAGTTGCTACTATAAAGTCCCCTTTGTTATAAGTGTTTTTAGAGGGGCAGGAGCTAATACTTAAACTGGAGTTTTTCTTTTTTTTTTTTGCCTGTGGTCTGCCTGTTCTTTGATGCTTTTCAGTACAGATAAGCCAGTTTGATAACTGTATATGATATTGTGCCCCAGTTCAGTTGAGATGGTCTTTGACCATGGTATCCAGCTACTGAAAACTGACCTGACTAGAGTCGTCTTGTCAGCTTAAAATGAAATAAGATGCATAGCATCTTATTCTGCTTCCTTTTTTATGCTAATGGAGTTTTCTTCTCCAGATAATCTTAGTTCAGAAGCAACTGTTTTGTTTAGGAGAGCTGTTACCTGAGGTTTCTAAAAATGCTTGTTGTCATGCATTCCTGAACACTCTTCCTGAAGCCTAGCCCAAAACTTTGAAAACTCATGTAAATTGCAGCAGAATGTAGCAGTTGCAGCTTCAAACTGTTCTTTAGTGTCTGTCCATCAATCTTTCCTTTTCTGAAAATGCTGTTGCATTAAAAAAAGAAATTGGACTTTTCCTATAGAAAAATAACAAGATACCTATAATCTTCTATTTGTCTTGTGGAATAAAATTTCCATTGTCCTTTTCAAAATACTGTTCATTATCAAAGCCCAAGTTAACTGACTTAAGACTTAAAGGGAAGAGGAAGAATATCACTCTTATTTCGTCACTCTATACTTTCCTTCAAGTGTCTTGGCAAAGTACACAATATAAAATTGTGAATTTCTTTACTGGGGGTATTCAGAAGTGCTTTATCAACTTAAATTTGTGAAAGTGAAGACTCCTGCCCCTATTGTCATTCCTTTCATGCTGAACAAGTTTATGAACATGAATCTGGTAACTTACTGAAATTGAAGTAGATCTAAACCTTGAAGGGAAATTTTGCACAGATGGACCTATGAACTGTTTGTTGCTGTTGAACCCTGTGATCAAAGTGCTATTGCTAAGAGACAACAGTAACTGCTCATAGTTTCTGTACTAGAAGAGAAATTCTGAATGGGCATGAACTTTGTTTCATATTGTTTTTCTCAAGGAAAAAACTTTTTCATGTAAGGAATATTCTAATAATACAAACATGAATGTTGAAGTACCAGTTTTTCCTCAAGTCTCTATGAGAACATGGCAAAACTTATGGTGGCTTTTGTGATATAGCTTCTATGCTTAAAACTTTAGAAGTGAACTTTAGAAACTTGTGACTTGCTGTAGCACAAAAGGACCTTTGGCACACTAAGACAAATGTTTTCTATGTAGGGCTGGAACTGTGGACATAGTGGAACTTTCTGTGCTGCAAACTTATTTGCTATTTTTTCTTATTTTTAGTCTGTTTCTGAAATCTCAAAAGCTTTTACTACTTTATCTCCTCCTTTCCTATAAAACTGAGCAACATGAGTTTAGGCTTACGTTGCATATTCAAGCTAGCAAATTTACTGCACATACCTCAGTGTGCAAGTATTGCATTTCCACCAATTTGGAAAGGAACTTCAGGTTTGGTTTGATTCCATCAGCTGTCTCTCCTGTTAATGTGCAAGTAAAGAGAACCTTTGTCAATGGCTGCATTTTGTCCTGTGGTGTTGCAGTTGAGTGGTTCTTTAATGTCTCAGGCTTGGGGTTTTTTGGGGGGTACTAAGAGAAGGCCTGTGGCTTATCGTCAATCAGTTGCTAAAAGTATGGTGGATTTTTACATACTTTATGGCAAATGGCCAGTAGAAAAACAGAAGAAAAGCTATTCTGTTTAATACTATATTCTGATGGAGTCTAGCACATTTTTTAGTATATAGCATATTTTACATAGCCTATTTTTAAAAGCAGGAGGTTAATTTTATCAGCAAATACAGCAAGTCTCTTTACAAAATTATGGGATTTCTGGTAATAGTACCTCAAGCATGAACTGAATTTGCTCTATGGAAGATGTATTACCAGCTGTGTAGTCTGGAAAGGACAGTGGAGCTCCCTGCATAAGTAGGGTTAACTGCTCTATATGGAACTAGATTTAGTAAGTTCCAAAGTCTTTTAGAAACTGACTTGTAAAAATTTTCAGATTAATTACAATGAATTGTTGGACAGAAGTTGGCTTTAAATTTAAGTGCATATTGCACTGTTGGCTCAAAAATGTAAATGCTTAAACCTATGTTTTGGAATATGTTGTCAAAATAGTCTTTGTATAACTATTTTATAAAGTTTCAAAATGCAACTTTGTAGAGTAATCCTGAATTGAAGGTGCAAGTATTATTTTAAATATTCCTGCTTCTCTGCCTTTAGAAGAACATAAGTAATATAAAAGATGTTATTTTAGGCTGCAGTGAGAATGGTACATATAATGTATTCTTAGCTTCAATATATATGTATCATAGGAGGTCGCATACTTGTGTTTGTGTTAGCTAGTTTTGATGTTATAAAGTAAAAACTTGGCCAACAAGAAGCATTTTGTTGGCAGAAAATGCATATAGCATTCACAGCTTGTAACAGCAGGCTTAACAGTTTATCCCTTGCATTCCTTACATAACTCAAATTCTTGTAGAAAATTCTCTGAGAATTTGTTCTGTGAAATTAGTATTAAAACAAGCATGAAAGGGTAGGTACTAGTGAAGATCTTGGGGGTCTCCCTACACACTGGAATTAGTTGCATTTTCCTGCCAGTACTAGATGGTGTTTTATCTTCCCTGCTATTAAGATAGGATTTGAGTTTGCTTGAGACCCTTTGGACAATCTAGTTCTATCACTGTTTTTGTCTTATAAGCTCTAAGCACCTGGGGATGTCAGGATATAGAGACTGCTGAGTGTTATCTCCTGAACACCACAATCTGATTTCTTTTCAGAGTGACTTGGCACAGGTAGAGCTGTTTTATTGCAGAACTGGGCTTGTTCTTAGTATTTGGCTTTATTTGCTATTGTTAGACTAGTCTTGAAAGGCCTGGACTGAGATTTTGCTTTTTCCTTTGGAAGATGAGAGTGATCATAGATCACTCTGTAAAGAACTTGAAAACATGATATTTGCCCAAGTAATATTCCTCAAAGCTAGGAGGAAATTTTGCTGTTAACTCTGTAATGACTGAAGAAAGCTGCCTGATAGCATTAGCGTCAGCTACGAAACTGTGTTGTATCTAGTCAAGCTTGCCATAGCTTGTGACCACATTATAACTGGCACTGTATTGCCTTGCTGCTGTTTATTCTCTGGTTATTCTTCAGCAAAAGCCCTCTATTTGCATTCCCTGTTTGAGAAGCAGGGATTGTTTCAGTCTTCACTTTTTCTAGTAGGGAGCAAACAGCTAGAGGCTACTGCAGGTTCTATTTAAGGCAAACAAGCTTTCAGTGTGCTCACCTCATTTACAACAGCTTTCTCTGGTATATCCTATGCAAAAAGTAGGCACATAAATTGGACAACTATGGACATCTATGTTAAAAGAATATGAACACAATACACTTCATATTGCAATACAGCAGGATGTTTATTAAACATTTATTTGTATAGCTCATGAACACTTAAATGAAAATAGTATACTTGTGAGATGTGACCTGCATTGCATTTTAGTTTTCCCTTTGGACAGTTAAGATTTTTTTCAGTTTGAGCACTTGAAAGCTATACCTTAAAGGAGTTTAACAAATGCTTATTTCGGGTAAAGTTGATAGAATAATGCAGTACTAGTGACCAGCATTGAGGTAAAGTGTTTGACAGAAGAGCAAACTTCAGGCTAAAACTTCTGCTTTTTCCTTTGCTGATATAATTGGCTTTGTTTTAAAACCGTTCATTCATCAGGGAACATTCTGTTCCCATGAACTAGTACATCTACCCAGGTAGGAGGAGAGAAAAAAGCAGTTTGTGTCCTTGAGGGAAAAGGGGATATAGAGAATAGTACCTGTCTCAAATCTGTACTCGGGAGGAAATTTTCTGTATTAAATATAATTGCTTTGAGAAATTTAGTTTTGCTATTCTCAGCACTCTTGCCTTGTTTTCCTAATTAAGACTTCATGTGTCAATACTTGACCACTTTTTCCTACACTTTTGTCCTCTTCTCACTGATGTGCTTATCTGTTCTTTTATAGGAAAGAAAATAAATTCCTTGACACTTGGATAGCTAGCATCTATCATTTCACTTAACAGATCTGAGGTAGGAATTTAATATTCTCCTTAACAGGTAGAGAAATTGAGGTGTCTCTTAATAGCACTAGTCAAAACTGGAATTCATTATTACTTTTCTAATCAACCATAAATTGCTCTTACAGAATGCATTCATAAAGGTATTAATACTCTTTAAATATTTATTTTCCCTCTTGACTAAAATGCTAAAAAATCTGTTGATAAAATAACAGCTCTTAAATACTCTCATTTCCTTGTTACTCCATATTAAGGTACTTTCGAGTCAGTTCACTAAAATGCTTAGTGGTTAGCTATTTTCAATGATCTGAATTCAGAAGTTATATAAATTACTTCAGAGAAGGCAGCTCTTAAATATGAGCAGTTTGTCCATAAAGGCCCTATCTTTTATTCCA